GTCTTCAAGTAGACTTGTAATGCTATGAATTTTCCTCTTAGGACTGCTTTTGCTGTGTTCCACAGATTTTTTTGGGTTGTTGTGTTCTCATTTTCATTTGTTTCAAGGTATCTTTGATTTCTTCTTCATCTCATTGTTAACTCTTTCATTGGGTAACATGTTATTTAGCCTACATGTTTTGTTTTTCTTTTGTGGTTGATTTCTAGTTTCATACCATTATGGTCAGAGAAGATGCTTGATATAATTCCAGTCTTTTTAAATTTAAAGACTTGTTTTGTCTCCTAACTTGTGGTCTATCCTAGAAAATATTCCATGTGCACTTAAAAAGAATGTATATTCTGCTACCTTGGGGTGAAATGCTCTGAAGATATCAATTCTTTGGTGTGAAATGCTGTGAAGATATCAATTAAATCCATCTTACCTAATGTGTCATTTAAGGCCACTGTTTTCTTGCTGATTTTCTGTCTGGAAGATCTATTCATTAATGTCAATGAGGTGTTAACATCCCCTACTATGACTGTATTTCTATTGATTTCTCCCTTTATATTCATCAACATTTGCTCAATATGCTCAGGTGCTCTGATGTTAGGTGCATAAATGTTTACATGGTTATATCCTCCTGTTGGATTGATCCCTATAGCTTTATGTAATGTCCTTCTTTGTCTCTTGTTATGGCCTTTGTTTTGAAGTATATTTTGTCTGCTGTAAGTATTGCTACCCTAGTTTTTTTTAATCATCTTTTCCATTATATATGTGTGTGGGTGCGTGCAGGTATACATTCCATTACATATATTTGTTTTTTTCATTCCATTATATATATCCATTTTCTATCCATTCTGCTACCCTGTGTCTTTTTATTGAAACATTTAAGACATTTACATTTAAAATGATTATTGATAGGTTTGTATTTATTGCCATTTTGTTCTTTATAACTAAGTTCCTCTATTTTTTTTCCTATCTATGACTCTGTTTGGGTTCTGCTTGCTTATTTTGTTTTTTATATTCAATTATTGATAGATATGTATGTATTACCATTTTATTGTTCATACTTTGACCTTTTTTTAAAGAAAACCCTTTACCATTTCTTGTAATCTTTGTTGTGTGGTAATGAACTTTTTTAACTTTATCTTTTATGGAGAGCTCTTTATTTCTCTGTGTATTTTAAATGATAGCCTTGCTGGGTAAAGTAGTCATGGTTGTAGTTCCTTGCTTTTCATCACTTTGAATATTTCATTCCAATCCCTTCTGTCCTGAAATGTTTCTGTTGAGAAACCAGCTGGCAGTCTTATGTGAGCTCCTTGTAGGTAACTAACCATCTTTCTTTTGCAGTTTTTAAGATTCTCTCTTTGTCTTTAGCCTTTGCCATTTTAACTAATGTGCCTTGGTGTGGACCTCTTTGGATTCTCCTTGTTTTAGACTCTGCACTTCCTGAACTTGTGTGTCTTCCTTTCACCAGGCTAGGGACCTTTCAGTCATTATTTCTTCAAATAGGTTCTCGATCCCTTGCTCTCTCTTCTCCTTCTGGTACCCCTATAATGTGTGTATGTTGTCAGAAAGGTCCCTTAAACTATCCTATTTTTTTTTATTTGTTTTTCTTTTTGCTGCTCTGATTGGGTGTTTCTGTTATCTTGTCCTCCAAATCATTGATTTAGTCCTCTGCTTCATCCAGCCTGTTTATTCCACATAGCGTATTCTTCCTTTCAGATATTGTATTCTTCATTTCTGACTGGTACTTGTTCTTTTCTGTGGTTTCTATGTCCTTTTTTTATGCTTGCTATCTCTTTGTTAAAGTTCTCACTAAGTTTTTTGAGCATCCTCATAACTATTTTTTTGAACTCTATATCTAGGAAATAGCTTTGCCTCCATTTCATTTAGCTCTTTTTCTGGAGATTTCTCCTATTCTTTCATTCAGAGCCTGTTTTCCTTTTTTTTTTTTTTTTTTTTTTTTTGGTCTTGTCATTTTGGCTGCCTCTTTGTCATTTTTTTTTTTTCCAATGTATTAGGTAGATCTGCTATGACTTCCAGTCTTGGTAAGGTGCCCTTATATAGCAGGTGTCCTATGGGATGCAGTGGCATGGTATCCTTGATCACCTGACCTGGGTGCTCCACGAATGTCCTTTGTGTGGGTTATATGGGCCCTCCTGTTGTAATCGAGTCTTGATTTCCATTGACCCATTCAGGCATGTTTTTGACCTTCAGGCTGGCTAATTGTGAGGATTGACATATACCACAGTATATGAACTGCTGTGTAGGTACTGACCACATGAAGCAGAATTCACCTCAGCAGGGTCTGGTGCCTGCTGATATCCCTTTGGATATTCTGCTTATGAAGTTAATTGGATTATGTTCAGATTTTGTCTGAAGCTGGCTACTGGGTGTGTTGGTTTGGGAGCCTCAAAGGAGGGACTCTGCTGAAGACCATTATTAGATGCTGCCTGTGACTGTCCCTGGGCAAGCTGTTTGGAGCTACAGAGCAATACACAATTTGTGACTGCCTCTGCTTGGCTTGAGTGTGTACAAGGATGACCAAGCTGTGCACCAAGGCTGGCTTTTACCAGCACCAGTTTGGGGACAGGTCAGCAAAAGTCCCAAGACACTCCAAGACCTACATCTGCCTTCCTGCTGCTTGTTAGGCTCAGTCACTGAAAGAGCCTATGGCAGTATTCAGGTTGCATGAGGAAGAATCTCAGTGAGTCACTAGGTAGGGGTAAGTGGTATCCACCCAATTGATATAGGCTCAACCTCCATGCCAGTGCAGTGTCTGGGGCCACCCAGCCAATGTCCCAGGGTATACCAAGTCTAGCTGCCACACTCTGGGTACCTGAATCCTTTGAAATGGGATGGGGCTTCGGGAGTCCTCAGGCATAGGCAAGCAGAATTTATCAGGCCCTAAAAGACCAAGATTTGGCCACACATGTACTGGTTGGTCATGTGAGAGAAAAATATCTCCCATCCTTGAACCACACAGTTCAGTCTGCCCAAGATTCTGGTAGGAGGCCCACCTCAGCAGGACAGGGCCACTAGGAGTTAGAAGGGTGAAACTAATGGATTTTCTGTGAGGGGGAGGTGCAACAGGTTTTCAATTTCTTGCTATCTCTCTTCTCTTTATGGCACCCCCATGATGCAAATGTTGGTACACTTGAAGTTGTCCCAGAGACTCCTTGTAGTCTCCTCACTTTGAGGGAGGCTTTTGGGCGGGGGGGGGGAGCATCTGTTTTGATTGGTTGTTTTTTGCCTCCTTATATTCCAAATCGCTGATTTGATTCTCAACTTCATCCACTCTACTGTTGATTTCCTGTAAATTGTTCTTTATTTCTATGAGTGTATTCTTCATTTTTTACTGGATTTCTTTTTATGCTACTGAGGTCCTCACTAAGTTCCTTGAGCATCATTATAACCAGTGTTTTGAACTCTGAATATAATACATTGTCTCCATTTTGTTTATTTCTTTTTCTGCAGTCATTTCTCTTTTCTTTAATTTGGGCCATGTTTCTTTGTCTCCTCATTTTGGCAGCCTCACTGTGTTTATTTCTCTGTATTAGGTAGAGCTGCTACATCTGTCAGGCTTAGTAGAGTGGCCTAATGTAGTAGGTGTCCTGTAGCGTCCAGTGGCACAACCTCCCCTATCACCCAAGCTGGGTACTCAAGGTCCACCCACTGTGTGGGCTGTGTACACCCTCCTGTTGTACAGTAGTTGAACCTTGATTAATCTTTGTACCTCCAAGGTCAGCCACCACCTGTGTTCTCTCCAGGGTCACACAGCATAAGCTTCAAAGCGATTAGCAGATGACTGCTACTTGTATTGAGCTTGGAGGTGCCCAGGTGAAGCCAAGCTGTGAACCAACATTGGCCGCTGCTAGTGCTGGGCCAGGGGCAACTTACGTGAGACTTACAGAGGGCTCACTGAAGCCAGATGCTGCTTGTTTGAGAGAACTTAGGAAAATCTGAAGAATAGGCCAAGACAAGCCCTGTGTATAGAAAAGCCACTGGAAACAGCCTGGGTGGGTCCAAAAGATGGGAGGGGCATGTCCTTAGGGAATCACCAGGGTGGGGCAAACAGTGTGAGCCAGGGTGATGGAGTCTCAGATACGGCACCTGCATGCCAGCTCTGTGGCTCTGTTTGGGGAGGTCTCAGGAAAGAAACAAGAGCCTTTGCTAGCACTTCTGTCTGGGAGAAAGCTGCCCCCCCAGCTCTTGCCTTGAGCCAGACAATTCACTTGCTCACATCCCTGTCTGTCTCTGATGCCTTTCAATCTGCTACCCCCACACTGGAGCTCAGACAGAGTAAGTCTGAGTATGCCTGTGCACAGGCCCTTTAAGAGGAACTGCCTGTGCTCCAGAAGTTTCCTCTTCCATAGCTTCAATCCCTGCTGGTTTTTAGAGCCAGATGTGGAGACTTATCTTCCTGGCACTGGAGCCCTGGGCTGGGGTGCCTGATGTGGGACAGGGACCCCTTATTCCTGAGATATCCCTCCCAATGTTTATCCACCACATGTGGCTGTGGGACAAGCCTGTTCTGCATCTCCACCCCTCCTACCAGTTTCAATTTGGTTCCTTCTTTAATTCTGTAGTTGTAGGACTTCATTCAGCTCAATTCCTGATGGTTCTGAATGATGTCTGTTCTATAGTTTAGTTATAATTTTGATGTGGTTGTGTGAGGAGGGGCAGCCATGTCTACCTGTGCCACCATCTTGACTGGAAGTCCTAAATTATCCCTTCATTTCTTTTCAGTAATATGCATCTGAGAAGCTGCACATTACTGCCTGTCACAAGTGTGACGTTTTTTAACACTACTTTAAACATGGAAAACTTGGTTGCATGTTGATATGGATAGTAATATATAAAGAATAAAAAACTCTATTATAGTTTTTGACACATTTAAAATTTTTATTATGGTAGAAAGAGTTGAATCAATGTTAGCTTTATCTTTAATAAAGTGGGCTTCTTATTTTTTGTAAAAACTATTCTACTGGTACAGATTTGTCATTTTCACTTTACAGCAGTTAGAAGAAAAGAGTGAAGATCAAGAAGATAAGGAATGTTTGAAACAAGCAATAACAGCTTTGCTTAATGTTCAGAGTGGTATGGAAAAAATATGTTCTAAAAGTCTTGCAAAACGAAGACTTAGGTGAATATTTCACTTCTTTATATCCTCTTTTCACCTTGAATATCATTGTATAAATTCAGGAATCCCAGTTCCCTTCTCAAGTAAACAATGAAGAAAATAGTTTTAGTGACAAGCTTGGTCTTTCAGAGGAAGTGACATCAAAGCCAAGAGAATTTGTTATTGTTTGAAAAACCTTTCATATTGTGCATTTTCCTTGCATACTCCCAGTCAAGACCTCCTGAGAGTCAGCTGGTAAGCTAAGGAGAGAAGCGCAAGGAGAGATAGAGCAAAATGTATTTTGTAGATTTATGTCAACATCATTTTTCCATCAAAGTATCCCTTATTTTAGGGATTCTATAACTTGAGGCATTAATTCAAATAATATTGCTTCCAGTTTCCTAATGATAATGTGTGCATGTTTTTTAACTTTGGGTCTTGTCCATAAAGTATTTCTAAATAATTTTTTAAACTTCTTAAATTACTTTTCTGCACCATATGGGGCTACTTTTTAATATTTGTCATTCTAAATATTTGTAGCCAAAGTAGAAATCATTTTGTAGCTTAGTTTAATTATAAGACAGAATTTTCTCAATAGTCATTGTTCTTTTTAGAGCACTAAAAATTGTCTATACTGTGTTGATTCAGTTTTCAAAATTGTGCAGTTTTGTAACATTGATATATTTGGAGGATTAGTGAAAATCTTCTCAGTGTAACTTTTTAAAATATACTTTTACATTGTCCTTTATTTACATGAATTCTAGGTTCTCTGCCATCTGTGTACTAATGATGTTTTTTTCCTTTATCCCAGTGAATCTGCATGTCGGTTTTATAGTCAGCAAATGAAGGGGAAACAACTAGCAATCAAGAAAATGAATGAGATTCAGAAGAATATTGATGGTTGGGAGGGAAAAGACATTGGACAGTGTTGCAATGAGTTTATAATGGAAGGAACCCTTACACGTGTAGGAGCCAAACATGAGAGACACATATTTCTCTTTGATGGCTTAATGATTTGCTGTAAATCAAATCATGGTCAGCCAAGACTTCCTGGAGCTAGCAATGCAGAATATCGTCTTAAAGAAAAGTTTTTTATGAGAAAGGTACAAATTAATGACAAAGATGACACCAGTGAGTACAAGCATGCTTTTGAAATAATTTTAAAAGATGAAAATAGTGTTATATTTTCTGCCAAATCAGCTGAAGAGAAAAACAATTGGATGGCAGCATTGATATCTTTACAGTATCGGAGTACACTGGAAAGGATGCTTGATGTGACAATGCTACAGGAAGAGAAGGAGGAGCAGATGAGGCTCCCTAGTGCTGACATTTATAGATTTGCAGAGCCCGACTCTGAAGAGAATATAATATTTGAAGAAAATATGCAACCCAAGGCTGGAATTCCAATTATCAAAGCAGGAACTGTTATTAAACTCATAGAGAGGCTCACATACCATATGTATGCAGGTAAGAAATAAGAAGTTGCCTGTGACTTTTATTTTCCTGCTTCAAGCTGATTTTCTTTGCTGCACTGGTCATTGTGCCTAAAACAGAAAGCAAACTAACACAAGACCTCTGCATTATCAGTGTTCATTTCTTTGACTAAAAAATACTGCTGTTTATATTTCTTTTTAAATTTATACTTTTTCCTACCACATTTACATATTATTTTAACTTTACAACCAGAGTTATAAATGAGAAAAATGCAGTCACTAAGCTAAATTTACCCACTTAGAAAGCAACAGCAACAAGACTGTAAAAGTAGTGATAAATCATCGTCATTGGAATCTTGAAACTTTTTTACACCTGTACCTCCTTTTTTCTTTCTTTCCACTATTGGGATTATAAAATCAGTAAACATTTTAATATACATCTGTCACCAAAATAATGCTGGTAGTACAACTATACATAGCATTGCTTTTTCTTAATTTCCATTCCTAAAACTTAACTAAATTTAGCAATCCTTGAAGTCACTTAAGTTTTCAGTATTTTTTTACTTTTTACAACTGATGTTACTAAAGAAAAACAGTTTCACCTTAGCAGAGCAATTTTTAGAGACAAACGTATCTAAACCACCTAGGAAGATTGCTATAGGCTGAATCTAATAAAATGTTTGAGAAGGGTAAGGAACACACGTAATGATTCATTTTTAAGTAAGTTATGTCTTCTAAAAAAATAACAAATGATAATGCAATGTTCTTCCTCCTTCACCTTCCCTAATAGTGAGAGATTTGATAATTGGAAAATACTGTAGAATATGGTGTAGTAGAAAGAGCATTGAATGTGGTGGATTTACACCTCACTCATAATTTAAGGTCTCAGAACCTTAGTTTTTCATCTCAAAAATCAACAAGACAGCAGCTACTTTAGTTGGAAAGAGTAAATGTAATACTATATGTAAAAACTTTTATAAATATAAATGCAAACTAATTTTCAGAGATTCTTTTTATTACAAAAACATAAAATCTAATGTAGCTCTTATAGCAAATGCTATTCTTAAATAGTTGAATGTGAAGGTTACTCTCCATCTCCATGCTTCTTGCTAAATATAGTCTTATCTCTAGAAGATGTGTCTCCGGGGAAATTTTTCTTCAGTTTTTAAAATCCTATCAACGGGTTCTCACTCCTCTGGAAACTATTCTGTTGCCAGTTAAATTAAGCTTTTAAAGATATCCATTAATCCACTGTAATAAAGATAAATAGCATTTGATAATGTTAATCTGTTCAATTTATTACACGTCCAATCAGAACTACTTATGTGGCCTGGAAACTATCAGGGCCACCTTGTAAAAATGTAAAATTAAGTTAAAGTATTTTTATCAGTGACATCAAAGCATTTTATAAATATAAACTTGTTTCATTATCACCACATGTATCTGGGATGAATAAGGCAGTATTTTGTTTTTAGTTTTTATTTGGTCTCTAATTGGTAGGTCTTTTACTAATCTTTTCCAAATTAAAATATAGTGTTTTCTTTCCATAGGCTAATTTTAAAAGCAGTTTGGGTTCTCTGAGCACATACCATTTATAGTAGCAGGTAGTAGATGAAATAAGGTGAATATAGTGAAAAAAGACTAGTCTGGGATTCCAATTTTACTATTGATATTTTACTTAGAAACTTCTGTAGTTAGTGTATTCATTTTATTTACCAAAAATAAATCAAGGCACAGGAAATTTAAATAAGCTGCCTAGGATTTTACATAAAAAAGAAATAGATTATTCTCTCATCTTTTTTACATAAGAAACTTTAAAAGGAGGTAATCAGTATGATCTATTTAGTTGATCTTCATTAACTTTTCTTTAAGACCTGGAATGTAACTACAAAAATGTTTTTTTAAATTGCCCAAAATTTGTGGTTGCAAAATACTTACTTGCTACTTTTAAGGAATTTTTAAAGTCATAAAAGTTCAAATTGCTCTTCTTGCTACATCATTCTGATTTTTAAGTGTCTTAGAAGATTCACTGAATTTTTTAGCATAAGCTTTCCAAACTGTCCATTTTATTTTACAAACTTCTGTTTTGAATTCTTACACTGTTTTGAGTAAAATTAATGCTTTCATTTAATAGTAGAACTCCTAAGACAGAAGTTTTACTATTTTTTCCTATAGAGAAATGTAAGTGGCAAATGCTGAAGAAGACTGGTGTTTACCATCACAAGTCAGTGGTGTTTGAACTGGAAGACATTTTTCAGATTCCAAAATTTGTAATGTCATTGTGTCAAACTAAGTTGTTAATTATAAAAATTTTCTTTAAACTGCTTGCTGTTTTTCACAGATCTTTGATTATTAATGGTAAAAACTTCATTTTAAACTGCTCTATTTCACAGACATAACAATTATTAGTAAGTAGTTGCAAAGCTACAATTAAAAATTTCTTTTCTGGGTAACTGTGCCTATTATTATTATTTTTTTTAATAAGGACACTTTTAAAAACAAAACTTGAACAAACATAGCTGACAGGCTTTCTATAAACTTGGCAGTCTCCTCTCCTTAATGTACATGCTGGCCAAGTCTGTGGACAGAGTGCTTGTGCCATGGTGTTTTCTTAGTTACTTTTGATAGTTCTCATTTGTTTTAATTTTTAGTTTTTGAATAGAATGTTTTAAATGGTTGTACTTCTAAGTAATATGAAATACTTAAATGTCTATATTCATAGAACTTTGCAAAGTTAAGTATATTCAAATTTAAATTGACAATCGTCTCTTTTTTAAGTTTTTAAAAAAATTTATTAATTTTTTGAGGAATAAAATGGCAGTGGTGCTTTTAAAAGTGTGTGGCTGTTTTTTGATATTTTTCTTTTCTTTTTTGATGTTTCATTGAATATTTTAACCTACATCATAAATACTGACATATTACTGGTATAACTAGAATCCTCAAGCAGCTTTTGTGAATTGTGGTTTACAGTATACACAAATTAGTATGATTAGTTTGGGCTCTCTGTAAGGTACTGCATTTTGCCATGTATAATGCACTCCCATGTATAATATGTACCCACGTTTTTGGCCCAAACTTTTCAGGAAAAAAAATCTTTCATTTTATTTTTTATTATTAATTTAATACTACCCTTGTATAATGCGCATCCTTATTTGCCCTCAAAATTTTAGGGAAAAGAATACACATTATACAAGGCAAAATATGGTATATTACTCAATGTATTACTGGATATAGAATGTATTTTTTAATAGACCATCTATAAACTTGTAAAACATGAAAGCACTTTTTTAAGCAGTTATTATTTCTTTGTCAGTTCAAATGGACTCTTGAGTCCTCACTACAATGATGGGGTGTCCAACCTTTTGGCATCTCTGGGTCACACTGGAAGAAGAAGAGTTGTCTGGGTCCACACATTAAATACACAAACACTAACAAAAACTGATAAGCAAAAAAAAAAAGGTTTTAAGTAAATTTACAGTTTTTTGTTGGGCCACATCATAGCCACCCTGGCCGTGGGTTGGACACCCTTGATTGTAACAGGTCAAGTTACCATTTGTTTTGAGAACTATTAATCTGCTCTTTTTCTTTTTTTGGGGGGGTGGTGGTTATTTGGTTGATAGGTATTCATTCGAGAACATACAGTGCAAGTTGTGGCTTACATTGAAACAAAAACTAAAATTTAACTTGCATATTTTTATTGTATTGTATAGAATTATAATAAAAGACATTAGTTTAATACACTGAGAAATTTTAATAACTAACAAGCAGTATTTTAAAATTTTTTTTAGATTATAGGTTGGTTGCATATTGTCATAAAAAGCAGAAGAACCCTGACCCATGTGGCTCAATTGGTTGAGTGTCCTCCTTCAAAGCTAAAGTTTGCCAGTTCGATTCCCCATCAAGGCACATGCCTGGGTTTGCAGCCCGCTCCCCAGTTAGGGGGCACGTGTGAGAGGCAACCTGTTGATGTTTTTCTTACACATGGATGTCTCTCTCTCTCACTCTCACTCTCTCTCGCTCTCGCTCTCGCTCTCTCCCCCCTTCCTCGCCCTTTCTCTAAAAATAAATGAAATATTTTTTTAAAAAAAGGTAGAAGAAAAATGAATTTAACGTTACTTAATTCAGACTTCACTGTGTCTCCAGCAAACTTGATCCCTCAAGTATTTTAGCAATAATATATGAAATAAAGCTACGGATCTCTAGTGTTGGATGAGGTGACCAACCCCTCACTTTATAGGTGAAAACCCAAGGCCCCTGAAGCTTATGTGATTTGCCAGAAATCATATCATCAGGTAATTGCAGAATGAGGACTAGATTATAGGTTTTTTGACTTTTAACAGAATATACTTTCTACCATGTTACACTGACTCATACAAGGTGAATTCTTTTCAGTAGAATATAATTTTTATTATGTGTATTGAATAATAAAAATAAAGAGACTTGCTTGGTTTGAATTGCCAGTAATATAAATGGTTTGTTTTGGGGAAAACAGGTCTATTCTGAAGATAGAATTATTTTTTTTTCTTATTGAAATAGTTAATAAATTGTAATTAAACTTTCATTTTAGTGCAAATATTTTATTATATAGTTACATACTCATCATCAGAAGTTTAGTTTTTAACAAAACCCAGTCATTAGTCTATTGGTGGTGTTTGCTCTGTAAAGGAACACTTTCTGGGAGAAAGAATTGAATGTAGATGAATTAGAAAGTACTTGCTTAAAAGACTGCAGCAGGGTTTTGTGGAGACTGTAATTTATAGCTTGTCTTGCAGATCCAGTGTTTCTGGATATATAATAATTCACTAACTACATCAGAAATCTGGAATTCATCCCGAAGTGTTAGGAGGAAAATTACCTAGTTAGATCATTTTGAACCTGGCAGGGGTATGAAGAGACTTTCCTTACTTAAACAGTAAAAAGGCAAAAAACAATATGCATAAAGAAGATGAGATGAGAGTCGGAATTTGACTTTGGTTACAATTATAGGAAATAAAGTGCAAATTAATATTGAGATTTAAAACAACATGCTTAAAG